AAATCTAAATATCGTGCAATGTCTACTGCTTGTTTTGAGATTATTTGGCTTCGAAGGCTCTTGGTTGAGCTTAGTTTTCCTTAACATCGTCCCATTTCTCTTCATGTTGATAATACTAATGCTTTTCAAATTACCTTTCATCCTGTTTATCATGAACGTATGAAACATATTGAAGTGAACTGCCACTCTATTCGTGAGGCAGTAGATAGATCATTTCTCATCCTCATGTTTCCACAGATCTTTAAATTGCTGACGTGTTTACCAAAGCGTGCCGACGACATCAATTTCTAGTTGGCAAATTTATGCTTCTTGATCACCCAACATCAATTTGAGGGGGATGTCAGTCATATACATGGCATCCACCCCGACCAACCAATACTTCCTTCAACAATTCAGCCACAAAATTCACCCAATCACCTGTCCATCACCATGACCTTACCAACTCCCAATCCTCAACCTCTCATTGTTCACTTGCAATTGACTGTAGCAAGTCCTTAAAACAAATATTTAGAAAAAGAAAAAGATGGAGTATAGCTTTATGTTGATATTCAATCATGCCATGTTAAAATCTAAATATTTACAAAATGAAATCATATACGGGCATTAATTGGTGTACGTGTTCACATTTGACCACATATTAGGACTTTGATGCCACAATCTAGATTTACAAGGGAGTTCTTCGTTGTCTTCACGACGATTTTCTTTGTTTGACTTGTTGGTCCTTGTAAAGGTATGTTCACATAATCCTATTATGTACAAAGGAATGGAATCAAAACAGAAACATTATTGTGCATGTTGGATTGGACATTAAGGGACATGTTTAAGGAAGAGAGGTATTAATCCTCTTGAGTCCGGGGTACCAATTGTTGATGCCAACTGGGGATTGATTTTCTATGGTATTATTGCAATCCTTTAATTTAGCAAAGTCAATTTTAAATTATTTGTTGTAAAACAAACAAGATACCAGAATAGTTCTGATACCAATTGTTGTAAAACAAACCACCGGATTGAGATGTTGAAGTTATATGAAATAATAATGAAGTATATGATCAAGCAAAAGAATAATAAAAACAAGAATATGACAGAGAAATTAAGAGATTTTATGACGTGTACTTCAATTAGAATTCTTCAATTACTTCAACAAGAAATTCGGGTCACACCCAAATTCTAACAATCTCCACATTGACACGAATCCACCAAGGAATGAACTAGGTTATTCAACAATAATCAAAAAATTAATTTCTCCAACCAAACACAAAATACTCCCATCTTCTAATGAATCCAAACACTACTCTGCAAAATTACCTCAGATTCCAAAAAATTATAATGATTTTCTAATTTACCAAAATGGGTTGTAACACACCTCAAAGCAGAATCAATACCAAATGCTTTTATAGAAGGGTCCTTTCTAGATTGTACTCATTCTACTCCACTTAAAGTATGCTCAACAAAATCAGTATCCACATACCCTTTTTCATTGGGTCCGTCCCTAGGAATTGAATACAATGACGCCGCAGGTGATGGTGGCAAAGCAACATTATCCATATCTCCTGAACTCCACTGAACTGTATTATTCAAATCCGACCTTTTATGAGCTCTTAAAGGTATTGTATCAAACTAAATGTCTACCACGGTCCTGAACTTGTGTTGATTGACTCTTCTAAATTCTACACGACCCTACAAGATGTACAACCGAGATATTTTCTGTCCCTCCAATATAATTTGGGCACCCTTACAAACCTTCAAAGCTCTATTTCCACTAAACAACTCATAACCTTTTGAATCAAGGATAGACACTAAAATGAGATTTTTCTTCAAATCTGGAACATGTCGAACCTGACCAAGTGTTATAATTGTCCCATCCGAAAGTTTCAATCTGACTGTGCCAATTCCAGCAACCCGACCGATGCGTTGTTTCTCATAACCAGGACACCTTTGAAAATAGTTTCATATGTAGCAAACAAGTCCTTATTAGGACACAAATGAAACACACATACTGAATCAAGAATCCAATCATCTTTCAATTCAGACTCAATGTCAGAAATAACTAAGAGTTCCCCATCACTTACAACATTCTCCACAAGGTATGCTTTACCCAAAGTATCGGAATATCTACTTGCAACCATCATTTCTTTATTCTGCAATTTGTAGCAATCCTTCTTTAAGTGCCCCTTCTTCTTCCAATAGTTACAAATTTGATTACTGAACTTAGATTTCGATCTGCCCCTTCCAGAACCACCATGAGCAACCAAGCCTTCTCCATCTCTGACCTCAGAAACCAGATGCTTAATCTTCTCTTTTGAATACAAAGTATCATACACTTCCTCTATGATGAGAGTATCACGACTCTACAAAATCATGTCTCTAAATGAAGAAAACGAAGCGGGCAGCGAACACAATAGGATCAAGGCCAAATCTTCTTCATCATACTCTACTTCCAAAGTTTCCAAATCAGCAACGATCTCCTTAAATACAGCCAAGTAATCTTCCAATGATCCTCGTTCTACCATTCTATAAGAGTATAAATGCTGTTTGAGGTTCAATTTGCTTGTCAGACTTTTAGCCATGCACAATTGTTCCAACTTGAACCATAAAGCAGCTGCTAAATTCTCCTTCAAAACGTCCTGAAAAATATTATTTGATAGATGAAGATGAATGTGAGAAACTACCTTCTTATCCTTCCATAATTTCTCCTCTGCGGTCAAAGTTGTGGGCATCTTGTCTATTCCTAGCAACGCATCATCCAAATCCAATTGTGCGAGTACTACACGTATCTTAATCTACCACAGTGAAAATCTAGTGCTTCGATCCAAGAGTGGAATGTCATACTTCTGGAAGCCATTACGAATAAAAAACTTCTTACAAATCAAACCTAGCGCTCTTACGGAACTGCTAAACTTGACTCTGATACCAATTGTTGTAAAACAAACAAGATACCAGAATAGCTCTGATACCAATTGTTGTGAAACAATCACCGAATTGAGATGTTGAAGTTATATGGAATAGTAATGAAGTATATGATCAACCAAAAGAATAATAAAGAAAAGAATATGGTAAAAGAATTAAGATATTTTATTGACTCAAGAATAATGGAGAAGAGAGAAAAATTACAATAGATCCTATAATTCTAATAATCTATTTTCTCACACCATAAAATTATATAGAATAGCCTAGTATTTATAGAGAATAAGTAGGGGATGTCCAAACCTACCTAGTAGAGTTGTCGATGAAGTAGGATATCATAAATTTGAGTCCAAAACAAATTTCAACTCCCAATGAACTTCCAAAATAGAACTTCAACATGATATATGACTCCAATACTATTTCAAATTTGAATTCTTCAATTACTTCAACAAAGAATTCGGGTCACACCCAAATTCTAACACTATCTGTGTTACATTATTATTTGTTGATGTCAAAATTTGGTAGGATTCACTAGTCCATTGCAAGGACTTGCTTCCTTGAATATATCTGTAAATAGGAACCGCTCACTCCACTACACGCGGGAGGGTCATGGCTGATCTCACTCCCGACCGTCAAGTCATTTTCATAATGTGGAGGAACTAGCTTTGAAATTCTCTGAGTCTCTTCATCTAGGAATACTTTATCAAGTTTTTTCCTTCGATTGTTAGTCATTTGAATCATAATTCTGAATTCTGAATTACGATACCTATGTGCCCATTTCTGGTCGGGGAGTTCTTATTACTACTTTGACTTATTGAATCTATGAATTACTCTAGGTGGAACAATTGTGACTACTTCTGCTGATGCAACATAGTATTACCTCTCTCTCTTTTATTTATCTTATTTCTCGTTCTCTGTTGTATATTAATGCACTGTTTATGGTGATCGTTTTCTCTTCTCGTTCTTTTTTTTTCTTTTGGCTAGCAGTAATTGTTTCTACATTATGTTTTAAATTAACCGGTCTTTCCTCATTGATGGTAGGAAGGACCTTCTAAAAGCATTTGATATAGATTGATGTAGTTAGGTAGGACTTATCAACAGAATATGCTCGTGATGTTGCTGCTGGTTTCAACATTAAAACAATCTCAGAACCTCAAATGTTTACAGAAAGGTTTGGCGCGCATTGCTTGAAGTAAGAACTCTGAAAATACTTGTATATTTTCATTATCACCGGTCCTTAAAACAAATATAATCTATTTATGATATAATCTTTGGTTACATGCTTGATTGTTTGCCATGATTGGGTAACTAAATTCATGTATTGCTTCTCAATAGCTATTATTTGACATCATGATCTAACAATTTCTTTTTCTATACTATCTTACCTATTCAAGAACTCGATTGAAGTTCTATGGAAAGAAACAATAAGCAGTAAACAATGACGTCATCTCAAAGTGACTTTTATTTTCATCCTTGCCAGGTTCCTCTCTCCTTGATCAATTTATTTTCCGTTAATTCCATTTTATTTTCTCCTGGTTAGTAACTTCTTTCTTTCTCATTTCATTTCATTGTATAACTAGATAAATATGTGTGATATTTATAAATGATGAAATCTCATATCTTCTAATTATATTCAACTAGTATTCCTAAAAATCACTACAACAAAAATAGCCTACGACAACATTTGGACGTGTGTTGCAAATCAAGGTGTTGTCGTAGAGTATAGAGATACGGCAACGTTTTTTGAACGTTGCCAAAGACAAGTCTTCGGCAACGTTTAAGAAACGTTGCCGTAGCGTTTGGTAAATGTTGCGAAAGACAGCCTACGGAAACGTTTGGCAAACGTTGCCTTATCTATCTACGGCAACGTTTGACAAACTTTCACAACGTTTTAACAACAACAATATATGCAAATAGATTGGCAAAATTGAAAATGCAACTCATGAACAAATTTTGGAATTGCATAAAAATTGATAATTTCATTACAAATTTTTTAATCCACACACTTGAACATTAGAATGGGATACAACACCACTTAAAAATCAATACCACTAGAAGATGATGAATCACTGCTAGAACTGCTAGAACTAATTAAGCTAACTACCAGCGTTGCCTTGATCTCCACCTCCACTTCTACTGTCTTCATCCTTCTTGATCTTGATGGGAGGAAAGCTTGTCACAAGCATATTACCTTCTATATCCCTTAATTCACCCTATGAAAATCAACAAAAAAATAATTGAAGACATAATTTCATTTTCTCATAAAGCAAGCAGGGGGAGCAAAATAAAAATAGAAAAAGATAGAAACAAAAGAATTGGGAAAAAAACCTAATCGCAAGACCCACGGCAACACTGAGTAAAGAGATTTTGTTAACACCAGCTCTTAAATTCACGTAATTGCTAAATGTCAGTTTTGGATTATCCAAGCTCCCATACGTGGTTCCTATCATAGAATCAGGAATACAGATCATTATGCTTAATTGGATTTGATAGCTTTAAACAATTGAAGGAAGGTTCAATTACCTGATAACTTGCCGTTGATAAAAACATGCAAGGCATGACCAGCAAACATGATAGAGAGAAGAGGCCACTGTCCACTCTTTAGAAGTCCTTTATTAGATGCTATATTGACGCTGTATTCCACAACAAGAAATGCAGTAAACGAAGACATTAAAAAAGAGAAATATAAGTTTCAAACTTGCAACAAGGAACACTGGGAGATTATTGTGTGGCTTTCGAACCCTGGTGATGTGCTGCCAGAAAAGGAAAGAATTGATTTAATGAGAAAACGTGTTTCTGTTGTAACGTTTTACATCACTTGAATTGCTGAAATGCTGACACGTGGATAGATCTGGGCTGTTGGCTTAAAACTTCTGGATGACTCTTTACTTACCCAGACCGTTTTCTTTAGAGGATTCGAGAGACTCTTCAGGTGTGTGACTTTTGAGAGAAAACTTAGGGTTCTTCGTCTGGTTTTCTGCTCTGTAACATCTTTGATTTTAATCAGTAAAGTGTGAGAATTTAATCTCTAATGGTGATATTCTATGTGAATATCTGTGAGAACTAAGGTTCTGTTGTGAGTTGTGTATTAGAAGGAAGTTTGAGGAGTTTCTTGGTAATTCGACTCAGATCTGTTCATGTATTTGTGAGATAAGTGATCTTTCTCTATCTCTTGTACTATTTGAACGATTTGTAACCTTCGTTGCCAATTTGGGGCTGTATAGTGCAACTGAGCATTATCCAAATTTATTGGATGCTCAACGGGGGATGTAGACGTTTGATTTGGTCGTCGAACCTCCGAGGCTTAGGCCGAAACAATTCTTGTGTTGATTCTTTAATTTTTGTACTCAGTATTTCATGGTTTTGGTTTAATATCGTGTGTGTCCTGGCCTTACAGTGGTATCAAAGCCTTGACTGAAGAACGTGATACCTGGATCTTGGAGGAAGGTTAAGGATCTGCTCCAGATCTGAATTTTTGGAACTGCTTCAAAGCAGAATTGGAAAATTTTTGAGTTTTAAACTCGCTCGGTGAGATCTTTTTAATTTCTGCAAATATGTCCTTTAAGAAATTAGGGTTCCTCATTATTCCCTTGATCTACCATACGCTATAAACCCCATTGAGACTAATCTTTGTCCAAAGGCTCCTTGAGGCCTTGGGAATTTGAGATAAATCAAGAACGGGTGCGTACCTAGAGGATCTTGAAGGAGAAATTGTGGAACATCATTGATTGATCTCTGATAATTTTCATTGGATTCTTGATCCTTTGTGATCCTGTGATGTGCATTTAGAATTTCTCATAATCTTGATTACCACTTCGTGATAAACTGTGATATTGAATAACTTGTAGTGCTTTCATTATCATTTTTCTGTGAATCTGTGAAAACTACTTTCCCTATCTAAGTGATCCTTGTTTGGTTAAAACATGGCCTCTGCTAAATTTGAAGTAAGTCAATTTGATGGTAAGATTGATTTTAATATGTGGAGTCAAAAAATGAAGGCTATCTTGATGCAAATGAAATGTGCTAAGGCTGTAACTGAAAGTTGGCTTGCTGAATTACCTCTTGCTAAAAGAACTGAACTTGATGAAACTGCTTGGAGTACTATCTTCTTATACTTGTCTGAAAATGTGATAAGAACTATTGGTGAGACTAAGACTGCCTCTGAATTATGGACTAAACTGCATGCTAAATATGTGACTAACACCACCCCAAATAAATGTTTTCTACTAAAACAATTCTTCTCTTTCAAAATGGATCCCTCAGTTGATTTGGATGAAAATTTAAATAGATTTACAAAGTTTATCCAAGACTTGGCCAACTGTGATGAAAAACTTTCAAAAGATCAGATGGCTGTAGTTTTGTTAAACTCCATCAGTGACAGATATAAGAATATTAAGGTAACTCTAGAGTATGGTAGGGAAGACCTCACTACTGACATTATAATAGATGCTTTAAGGAATAAGGCTCTAGAGATGAAATTTGAATCTAGAAACAGTCACATTAGGGATGGCCTGTGGGTAAAAGGAAATGGCTTTGGAAAATCTGACTACCATCCTAAACCTTTTTCTGAACATAAAAGCAGATTTAGTGATAGGCATAAGTCTAAGACCAATGCAAAGGGTAAAAAGTGTTACTACTGTGGGAAGTTGGGACATTTTGCTAAAGATTGTTTCAAAAAGAAAAATGATTTGAAAGACAAGAAACCTGAGGATGGGAATAATGCTCTTGTATATCATAAAGCTAAAGTTAATACTGAAAATGGTTTAGTTCTTGTTAATGTGGAAACAAAATTGAATGATGAATGGATCTTAAACTCAGGCTGTTCTTTTCACATGTGCCCCAACAAAAACTGTTTTTTGGATTTTACCAAAACCACAGGAGGGCTGGTTATTACGGGAAATGATATTACCTGTAAAGTAAAAGGAATAGGTACTATAAAACTACTGCTAGAAAATGGCAATGTACTATTTCTTAAAGAAACTAGGTATGTCCCTGACTTGAAAAGAAACCTTGTGTCCTTAGGCATGTTAGATGACTTGGAGTTTAACATAAATGTGGGTCAAGGACATATCAAAATTCTTAGAGACAATGATTTAATCATTAGTTCCCCTAAGAAACATGGCCTCTATTTCATAAATGCAAAACCTTTACTTGGATTGATTGCTGCTGCCATATCTGAAAACTTTACACTCGCAAAACTGTGGCATGATAGACTTGGTCATATTGGTAAGAAAAGTCTGAACTATTTGCAATCAAAAGGATTTTTTGGAAAACTGAATCTTGGTGATTTTGGATCATGTGAGCAATGTGTTATAGGTAAACAAGTCAAATTACCTTTCCCTACAGGAACTCATAAATCAAAACAAATTTTAGATTACCTGCATGCTGATTTATGGGGACCTGCACCTGTATGCACATTGTCTGGTTATAGATATTTTTTACTGATTGTTGATGATTTCTCAAGAAAAATTTGGGTTCTCTTATTAAAGGGCAAAGATGAAACATTCTCTGTCTTTAAGGATTGGAAAACTCAAGTTGAAAATCAAACTGATATTAAAATAAAAACCTTAAGGACAGACAATGGTTTGGAATTCTGCAATAATGAATTCAATGATTTCTATAACAAAACATGGTATTCTGAGGCATAAAACTATTGTTTATACCCCTCAACAAAATCATATAGCTGAGAGATTGAACATGACTCTTTTAAATAAAGTTAGATGCATGTTACTTAGTTCTGGTCTGCCTAAACTGTTTTGGGGTGAAGCTGTCAAAACTGCTGCATTTCTTGTTAACAGATGTCCTACTAAAGCTTTGAATTATGACATACCTAAATTTGTTTGGTCTAAAATTCCTGTGAATTATTCTTATCTGAAAATATTTGGCTGTGCTGCTTATGCTCATCAAAGTATTGGTAAACTTGAACCTAGAGCACTCAAATGTATTTTCTTAGGATATGATGAAAATGTTAAAGGATATAGGCTTTGGGTTCACTCTCAGAAAGGGTATAGAGTTATAATCAGAAAGGATGTAGTTTTTAATGAAACTATGATGCCATGTTTAGAGGGAAAAGAAAATGCTTTGACTGATACTGATACTCCTTTTGAGGTGGAGTCTTCTCACTCTGAGCAAGACAATCCTGCACCTGTAGTAGATGAAACCAGTGCTGAAGATGAAAATCCTCTTCAGGGTACTGAGGTTGATCAATCTGACCTGCCTGATCCTGTAACGCTTGATGAATATCAACTTACTAGAGATAGAGAGAGGAGACAGATTAGATCATCTATTAGGTTTGACAATGATGATTTTGTTTCTTTGTTTACTTACCAAGAACAATTAGAAAATGAACCAAACTCTTATGAAGATGCCATTAAGTGAGAGAGAGAAATGGGTAGAGGCTATGGAAGATGAGATGTCTTCACTACTTAAGAATGATACTTGGGTTCTAATTGACAGACCAAAAGATCATAAGTCGATAGATTGTAAGTGGATCTATAAAGTAAAGCAAGGGGAAGGTGATAGTAAAAATGTCAGATACAAAGCTAGGTTGGTTGCAAAAGGCTTTACACAAAGGGAGGGTGTTGATTACACTGGAAGTTTTTCTCCTGTAGCTAAGTATACTACTATCAGATGCCTGTTTGCTTTTGTTGCTCAATTTAAATGGGAGCTTGATCAGTTAGATGTTAAAACTGCTTTTCTGTATGGTGAATTAGATGAAATTATCTATATGAAGCAACCTGTTGGTTTTGAAAAGGGAAACCCTGAAAATACTGTGTGTCTACTGAAAAGATCACTGTATGGGTTAAAACAAGCTCCCAGACAGTGGTATAAGCGTTTTGACACTTTTATTTTGAAACTTGGTTTCAAGGGAAGTCTTTATGACACATGCCTATACTGCAAAGGTAATGGAGGTAAAGATTCCTTATACTTGATCCTTTATGTTGATGATATGTTACTTGCAAGTTGTGACAAATCTGAAATTGAAAACATTAAATCAAAATTGAAATCTGAGTTTGACATGAAAGATCTTGGTTCTGCTAAAAGAATTTTGGGAACGCAGATTTGGAGAGATAAAGATAAAAATTTGTTATTCTTGAACCAGCATAACTATGTGATTAAAACTTTGAAGAAATTCAATATGTTTGACTGTAAACCTGTCACTTTACCTCTTGCTAATCATTTTCAATTGTCTTCTGAATGTAGTTCTAAATCTGAAAGTGAATATGTCAGAATGTCTAAAGTGCCTTATGAAAATGTGATTGGATATGTTATGTATTTAATGATTTGTACCAGACCTGACTTGGCTTTTAGTATAAGTGTCTTAAGTAGATTTATGAGTAACCCTGGTGAAGAGCATTGGAATGCTCTAAAATGGCTACTGAGATATCTAAAAGGAACTGTCAATCTGGGTCTTGTGTTTAAATCGGATAAAAATGGCGTAGTTTTAAGAAGATATACAGATTCAGATTTTGCTGGTGATAGGGACAATAGGAGGTCTACCCCATCTTATTTTTACACACTATGTGGTACTATTATTAGCTGGAAGTCTCAACTTCAGAAGGTAGTTGCTCTGTCATCTACTGAATCTGAATACACAGCTGCTACTGATGCTATAAAAGAAGGTTTGTGGTTAAATGGTTTATTATCTGAACTAGGATTTATTGATAACAATGCTATTTTATTTTCTGACAATCAAAGTGCTATACATCTTAGTAAGAATCCTATGTTTCATGATCGTACTAAACATATTGATGTCAAATATCACTTTATAAGGGATGTGATCTCAAAAGGGATTATCAAAATTGGTAAAATTGCAACTCGGTTTAATCCTTCTGATATGGGGACTAAGGTGGTACCTTTACATAAGTTTGCTACCTACTTAAAATTATTATCTGTTGATTCTATGTGATGTTTTACAGGTTACTTAGAGTATATGAAAACAAAATGAGAATGCTCCTGGCTGCACTAATAGTCTCAGATTCTGGCAGCAATGTGGAGATTGTGGGGTTCGAACCCTGGTAATGTGCAGCCAGAAAAGGAAAGAATTGATTTAATGAGAAAACGTGTTTCTGTTGTAACGTTTTATATTACTTGAATTGCTGAGATGCTGACACGTGGATAGATCTGGGCTGTTGGCTTAAAACTTCTGGATGACTCTTTACTTACCCACACCGTTTTCTTTAGAGGATTCGAGAGACTCTTTAGGTGTGTGACTTTTGAGACAAAACTTAGGGTTCTTCGTCTGGTTTTCTGCTCTGTAAAATCTTTCATTTTAATCAGTAAAGTGTGAGTTTAATCTCTAATGGTGATATTTTGTGTGAATATCTGTGAGAACTAAGGTTCTGTTGTGAGTTGTATATTAGAAGGAAGTTTGAGGAGTTTCTTGGTGATTCGACTCAGATCTGTTCATGTATTTGTGAGATAAGTGTTCTTTCTCTATCTCTTATACTATTTGAACGATTTGTAACCTTCGTTGCCAATTTGAGTTGTATAGTGCAACTGAGCATTATCCAAATTTGTTGGATGCTCAACGAGGGATGTAGGCGTTTGATTTGGTCGCCGAACCTCCGGGGCTTAGGCCGAAACAATTCTTGTGTTGATTCTTTAATTTCTGTACTCAGTATTTCATGGTTTTGGTTTAATATTGTGTGTGTCCTGGCCTTACATATTGTTTATACACTTACTTTGTCATGTACCATAAATAATCCGATGAGTCTCTGGTAACATATAGTTGCTCTAATAAACGTTGAGAAGAAAATAGAATCTTAGAGAGAGATCATATTTTCACTTTCCATGTCCTCTACGTTCTCAGCAAACAAATCCAGCTATATTAAAATAAAATTTACTTACAATTGGCCCACGCCTCCGCGGAAGAATGTATGCTTGATAATTCACCCTTCCCTTTGCCTCTTCCAAATAGAACTGTAGGAAATTAAAATGCTCTTATTCCAGTAGCAAGGGCTTTGAGATTTTGTGAATGACAGGTCATAGAAATTTACACAGTGAAAATAAGTAACAAAAGCCAACTTGCTTGAAGCTACATCTAATGTCCCTTTGACATACGATTGTTGGTGGTGCCAGGAAAACCATAGAAATGCAAGTCAAATTTAGGCAATAACTGAATTAACTTCAAGACATACAGATTATGTGTATGAACAAATTTTAAATGCAAAGTATGTGTTATGAGCTATGACAAACAGAATAGGGGGTAAAATTTCAACTTCTAAATCACCCTTTGACTCAATTTAAATACAATTTCCTTTTTCTTTTTGTTATTAATAATGCAATAAAGGTCAAACCAGAGGCTTGTCATCATCCTCTTAAAATCTTGATAATTCTCAGGTACGATGCCGTTGGAAGAAAGATACTTGTGAAGATATTTGATTGGTGCAGTTCTACTTATCTCTTCGATATATGCTGCTTGCTCTTGTCTCTCTTCAGGTGTTACATTTTCTTTATACCCTTCATGTGTATTATAGTTGTCCAGAAGAGAGCAGAAATGTGCAAAGATAGGCCTCATAAATATTTCTTCACTCAGCCAGGAAAACAGGCTCCCTCCTGCCATATCTTCCTTCTGGTAAAACTTCTTCCCTTCACCACAATCAATCTGATAGTCCTTGCCAAGTACCAAGCGGTTTAAGCCAAGTTCCCAGAGTTTGTTAAGAGCTTTTGAGAGATCATTAAGCTCTTCTCCAGAAGGTTCAATGCCAACATCATACTTAACCTCACTAGCATATTCTTGCTCATCAAGTGGACTTTTGTAATTCTTCCACTGATCCTTGTGTGCCTGTACCAGTATGTTTCATGTATGAACCAGGAGAATAAGCTAGAAACACGAGTATAAGTTTTGGCAATACAAAACAAGTGGCAACATCTTGTTTCTTTCATGTATTACAAGCAATAAAAGCATAGAGGATTCACATTGACAAAACAAAAGGCTGTCAGTACAGTACACATCTAATGATAGAAGCACGTGCAAACACTAGGATGATAGAAATTTGATAGGTTGCAATAAGGATGATATATAGAGGCAAAATGTTATTTTGCCAAAATAGCTGCGTTCCAATTTCTATGGCACATAAATTCATTGATTTACAACAATGACAACATCTCCATTTGAAGACATTGTCATAAGGAAATAATTATGAAAAAACTACCAGATAAACAGAAAGGGTTGTCAGCTAATACGAAGATTGCAATATGGAGATAAACAGAGAAAAAGGAAAAGGAAATGGATTTTGGATAGACATATACAACCAAAGAAAGTACCTTGTGATTTTAATGTCTCTGCCAAGTTTTTTAGGTCATCTCTCTCACACCCTGATTTTTGCATTTCCTAAAACATTTGTTCGTACCTCATCAAGAGTTATTCATGAATAATAAGCATACCAAGATTCAATGCCATCAGACACCAATCAATCACGACCAATTTACCAGAATGTGAGGGATAAAAAGTAATTTCATCATACAGAATATAGGGATATGGAATTAATAAGATTTTATTGCGCGTATGGAAAAATTTACCCAAAAACAAACCAAAAGGCACAATTGAAGCTTATAAACAGACCACTCTACAGAATCTACACATCCAATCTTACAGTAGGTTACAGAGGCAAAGCAGCTGGTCTAGGGTTTGAAGTCGCCGACACGGAGGCGAAGCAGGAACTGTCGAAGGATGAAGAAGGAAGAAGCCGAATCATCGGCACCGAGCTGCGACCCGAGGCTAGCTGGAGGAGACGTAGAGGTGAGAGGCGGAGGTCGAGCGTGGATGAAATTGAATTGAAATGGAGGGTAGATTTGGGGGAAGATGATTTGGGTGGGTTATGCGCTCAGGTTTTTAGGCTTTGCAATTTGAGGCATTTATTTGGAAAAAAGCCTTTTTTTTGCAATATTTGATAAACGTCAAGAAAAGTCTCACATTTTGTNAATGTTTATTAAAAAAAAAATTATTAGCAACGTGTACCAAACGTTGCGAAAAGTGTCTTTTCGTATTGAGACGTTTCGCAACATTTGACAAACGTTGCTAAAGGTTTGATTTTTCGCAACGTTTGCCAAACGTTGCTAAAAGTTAGACCTTCCGGAACACTCAACAAACGTTGCGAAAAGGGGTCTATTGCAACATTTTTTTAAAAAACGTTGTCAAAACTCATTTATATTAACCAATAGCAACATTCACTTACTAAAATGTTGCCAAAAGGCCATTTTAGCAATATTTATCAACAAATGTTACATTTTTAATGTTGCGAATGACTCTTTTTGTTGAAGTGAATCCTGATGCATTTTGTATACTTCGACTCCACTTCAAAGTTAATCAAAATATAGAAGTACATCTAATCCACATATCACTTTATTCTGTTGCAAGGAAAGAGTTGAGCCTAAGTGAGTTTTTTAGGGGTTTGAAAATAATTTAACCTAAGCTTGAGCATGTATCAACCTCTTTTGAGCATATTCCCATCAAGGGGTCGAGTAGACCTCATTTGAGCTCAATTCTATCTAAGGACTGGATCAAGTCCAAGTTTGTAGGATTCTATTTGAGCACAAATATTCTTAATAGTGAAGTCGAGTCCACATGTATTCCAACCATGATTCCTATAAATTATTATAGAGGTCGAGTCCAGCCCCTACGAGTCTCAACCTCGACCAACCATTAGTTATCTTTGTTAGTTTAATTTTAGCCCTTCGAGTAAATTTATTTGTACTCGTGACATTTTGAAATAAAAATAATGATTTATTTATTTATTTTTCCAAAAAAAAAAAATTGTATTAAATTGAGCTTGCATTTTGTTCATGGATCGACTTGATATTATAAATCGAGTGTTTAAGTTGTTAAACACTGAAAGATTTGATTTGTAATTCGATCTAAAGTTTACTTTCCACAATTGGTAAATAAAGATGAACACTTTATTTTGATAAGATTGTCTCAATTTTATTTAAAGTAGAACTAGACTTTAGTAATAAAATTGATTATACATTTTTGATATGTATTGGACTNTTTAGCAATAAAACTGATTATACATTTTTGGAATGTATTGGACTAGACCACGTGAAATTAATTTATGGAATTGACCACTTGAGTTTAATTTCACTTGACTATTGTACGTAGTACCTTAATCCTGAACTTGTAATGAACTTTGATTACTAATTGAAGTTTTTAGAGATATCAATGAGTGAGATTAAATTGTTAATCAATATCTCGTTGACTTGGGAATTAAAGTGAAATAATTGGAGAACATATATTCGCGATATGGAATCCGTAACCTGTTTAATAGGCACGATGATTTTCCAATGAACAGTTAAATATGAGCTCAGTATTTTGACATGATTGTTGAATTAATATTATGACGTGATCACGTGGAACTGTCAAATAGAAAATGGGATTGAGGATATAATTTATATTTGGAAAATGGGCATTTTGGTCATTTTACCAAGTTCTAAATATTCAACATGATTAACGGGGGTAATATGTAAGAGCAATTTGTCAGAGGATATAATTGTTGTAGCTTCAGTAATTTCAATTAAATTAGGAGTACAATCACATTCTTTTAGTGTACTAAATAGTGATTAATAAATTATCTAGACCGATCAAGAGTTGACCGTGTAAAGATTAATTTATTGGAGCTTGATTTAATTGGTCTGTTTGGTCCCTTCGTGGGGTCGAGATTGGTTTTGGCTCAAGTCGGCCAATTAGGAATTATGCTAGAACGTACATGTAAAGACTCTAATTAACTCGAGAGGATGAATTATGCTCAAATGAGATCAAGACTCTAAATATATCAGCTTTTACGATGAATCAGAATCATTCTTCTCCAAAGAGGTTAAGGCTCATTCAGCCTTTAGAGAGAATTATGGTAGAACGAGGATGAGACTATTTTGACCTGACTCAACCCTTATATATTGAGCATAATATATCTTAAGGATTAAGCTGACCCAAGCGAGTCTCGACCTTGTGCTCTAGCATTTTTTCACTAAAAAGATAAAAAGGTGAACATAATTATGAGGATTGAAAGGTAACAGAACATAAGCTGAGCTAGAGCTGAAAGAGCTGGGAAGCTGAGCTGAAGGAAGATGGTAATAGGGCTAACTATCAATTAGTTAGTTAGTTTTGTTCATCATATACATGTTTACCTTTTATATTGGCTTGTAAAGTTAGATAGGTAGAAGTAGTTAATTTGTTAGCTAATTGTACTTTGTATTTATACCCAAACTTCTGCAATTTTTCATTGATGAGATTGCAATACAATTGAGTTCAATTTCCATCTTCATCTCTTCCGTTTTTCCTCTTCGTTTCATCTATTCTTCAATATGCTATCAGAGAATTTTGGCTTCTATTGTGTGCTCTTCTAAATTCGAACATAATCTCATTGAATGATAGCGTCAATAGTAGCAAACAATTCATCATCAATGAATAATTTCTCAGTTAATAATGGATCGAGTCCTTACCGCATTCATCACTCAGAGAGTTCGGGCCTTGTGCTTGTGTCACAACCCCTCACTGGTGACAACTATGCTTCATGGAGTAGAGCCATGGTTATAGCTCTATCCGTAAAGAATAAACTCAGTTTTGTGGACGGAACATTACCCAAACCAGAAGCTGATGATGATCAGCTCAACAATTGGATTCGCAGCAATAATATGGTCATCTCATGGATTCTCAATTCCGTATCTAAGGAGATTTCTGCTAGTCTCATTTATTCTGAATCCGCACATGACATATGGATCGACTTGAAAGAGAGGTTCCAACAGAGAAATGGACCTCTAATTTTCAACATAGGCGTAAGCTGATGAACCTTACATAGGGACAGTCATTTGTTGGTGTTTATTTCATCAAGTTGAAGACGATATGGGAAGAACTTATTAATTACAGACCAGTTTGTTCATGTAGAAAGTGTGATTGTGGTGTTAATAAGATAGTTTCAGATCACTATCAGATGGAATATGTGATGTCTTTTTTAATGGGGTTGAATGATACATTTGCACAAGAGGACAAGTGTTACTTATTGATCCAGCACCTCCTATCAACAAAGTTTTATCTCTTGTTTCTCAAGAGGAACACCAAAGGAAGAAGCTCCTGGTGGTTCAGTCAGGTAATCAGTAACCGTTGCTACCCTTGCTCGAGTTTGGGTGAAAGAATAGGCTCTGGTACTAATGACTTAACTGTTGATGGAAGAAACTTCACTTAAAGTTGCGGATTAGTACTTATACCACTGGGGATTCAATGGCTTTCTATGCTAATATCGATCATAAGAAAATCAATTCAGGACAGACATAACAAGTTCCAAATAAAGGAAAGACCTATATGTACTTACTGTAAACAGGCAGGCCATTTAGTGGATAAATGCTATAGGTTACATGGATTTCCTCCTGGCTATAAAATGAAGCAGAAGTCTAGTTTCAATGATCAATTAGGAGCTGCCGCAATCAGTTAAGGTGGTGGTTGCAAATCAGGTTGCCTTTGAATTTGAGAAAGCACAAAATAACACAGGAAATTTCATGCAATCCTTGAGTGCTGCTCAATATCAACAACTAATGAGGATGTTCATTAATCATCTGAATTCTGCAAAGGTTTGTACAGAAACTGATAAACCTAACCAAGTCTCAGGTACTTGTTTCTCTATTGCTCTTAATTCATGGATAAATCTACCTAGGCATTGGGTGGTGGACTCTGGAGCAACCAATCACATATGTTCCAACCAATCTGTATTCTGAAGCCTGTTAAGAATACTTATGTCACTTTGCCAAATCATAAGAAAATCCTGGTTAACTTCATAAGAACTGTGAAGTGTGGCCATAATCTAATACTTATAGATGTATTATATGTACCAGAATTTAAGTTTAATCTGATGTCAGTTAGTTCATTGACTAAGGATTCTTTTATTGAAGTCAGATTCTTTGCTAACACCTGTGTTATTCAGGATATATACATCCGGAAGATGATTGACAAGGGTTAAAAGACTGTTGGTTTATACATATTGAGTGATATCTCAATTAATTCAGGACAAAATAATGGAAGTAACCTTTTGATTGATGATGTATGTGTCTCTGTTTGCTCAGCTGTAAATAAAGTTAGTACTCATACTTGGCATCACAGATTAGGTCATCTAACATTTCGAAAGTTAGATGTTCTAA